TAGTGCAAATTATCGCGTAATTACAATCTGATTGGTTCAAATCAACAATCAAAACATGTCAATTGATTGTTGGAATACCAGTTTCGACAGATGTATGAAATTCAGAATAGTAATATAACTAGATAATTTTTGGAAAATTTGCCCGAATGCATATTTAGTTGAAAAAGAGCACGAGTGCACGTAGTGCACGAGTGCCTTTTTCAGTTAAAAACGCATGAGTGCAAATTTGTCGAAAATTATAAATATAAACTAAGCGGCAGATGAAGTGGGAGAGCCGAAAAATTGCCTAATTTTGACTTGCTATAACTTCGACATTTCTTTGCCGATCTTGGATTATCAGGCAGGGTTACAAAGCGCCATCTTTGGTCTATGCGTCAGTGTCGTCGTACATTTTATTAAAAAATTCCTTCTCGCTATACAGGGTGTGAATGTAAGGCGGCGAAAAATTTCCATTTTTTGGCGAAGAATATGGGAAAGATGGAGGGTCCAATAAAGTTCTTTCTAGTGGTGACTCGATCACTAGGTCAACACCTCGAGACGTCTCTGCCATTTTTTCGATACATTGCGTTGCTATGGAAATATGGCCATTTTATGGTATTTCGTTTTACTCTTGAAATTAGCGATTCTTTAATTAAACAATAACAGATTCGGTTTAAATTACATCATGGAATGACTTGTATAGAAAATGATCAACACCAGTGGCGTGCAAAAGGGAATTCATGAAATTAAAATAAAAAAAATCGATTTATGTGAAAATTTTAACGGTTTTGTTGAGCGTTACAGTTAAAAAGGTGTTATAAATAACTGTGATGAGTTTGATTTTGATATTCAGAAGCGTTTAGTTAAAAAAAAAAAAAAACAGTATTTTTCATGTTATTTAATGTTAACGTGTGAACAGACCTGCCAACAGTACTGCTGCAACAGTACTGGTTCTCAAAAAAGAATAAATTCTCGTCAGGATCGACTAGTAGTACGTACTACAATTGAAAATAGAGTTTGGACTGTCAAGAGAATCCTAACGCATCTGCAGTTGAATGTTTCAGCAGACACCATTAGAAGACGCCTACATGACCAGGGATTAAATTCTCCCGTCGGGCAAAGTGTCCACTTTTTACAATCATTCGCCAGGGGAACTGAAAAAAATGGGCCCAGGAACACCTGAATTGGGATATTAAGTAGAGAGACTGTCTTTTCGTTGATGTATGCCGTTCTAATTTCTACAATTCTGACGGTCGATTGTTAACCTGGCGGAGATGGGAAGAACGTTTTTTAGAAGAAAACATGCGTCCCCAAGTTGTATTTGGCGGTGGAGGATTGACAGATTGGGTCACAGAACAGAACTCGTCGTATCGTGGTATTTTGGAGCAATGTTAACGGCCAAGTGTCCCTGGATAAATGTCAGATTCCGCTAGTTCTCCGGCATGCTCGAAATTATGGCGGGGATTTTGTTCTTTCAGACGATAATGCTCAGCATCATCGAGCATTATTAGTGAACCGGTATCTGCAAGGGCAAAAATTCAATCGTACTGAATCGCCTCCTAAACCCTCAGACATGAATCCAATTGAGCACGTCTGGAATTGAATAAAGTTAGAGCTTTCCCGGGGAGAAGGGAGAACGTCAGCCAGAAGCTCTAGACGATCTCGAGGAGATGATTCTGAAGCTCTGGGAGTCAGTTGCTATAGAGCTAAACAACCGAATAATTTCGAGCGTGCCAAGGCGGTGTCACTCAGTTATTCAGGCTAGAGGAGAACCAAAATGACACCATATCAGAGTTATTTATAACACCTTTTACAAGTTTTACACCCATATGCACCGTATGGACTTAGGAGTTTATTCTCGCTTAGTTCGAAAATTTGCATATAAAAGAGAAGTCCTAACCTGGTTTCAGCAACTAATCTGAATTAAGTCCTTATGGTGCATTTGGGCGTTAAATTTTAAAGACAGAACTTAAAAATTTCAGATAAAATCGAATTTTTTTATTTTAATTTCATAAACCCCCTTTTGCACGCCACTGGTGTTAACCATTTTCTATACAAGTCATTCCATGATGCAATTTAAACGGAATCTGTTATTGTTTAATTAAAGAATCGCTAATTTCAAGAGAAAAACGAAATACCATAAAATGGCCATATTTCCATAGCAACGCAATGTATCGAAAAAATGACAAAGACGTCTCGAGGTGTTGACCTAGTGATCGAGTCACCACTAGAAAGAACTTTATTGGACCCATATTCTTCGCCAAAAAATTAAAATTTTTCGCCGCCTTACATTCACACCCTGTATAGCGAGAAGGAATTTTTTAAAAAAATGAACGACGACACTGAGGCATAGACCAAAGATGGCGCTTTGTAACCCTGCCTGATAATCCAAGATCGGCAAAGAAATGTCGAAGTTATAGCAAGTCAAAATTAGGCAATTTTTCGGGTGTCCCACTTCATCTGCCGCTTAGTTTATTTCCATTGCACGAGTTGTATTTAATGAGAGAATTTCATAAATAAAAAAATTCAAATTTTTTGTCAAAAAATGTCAAAACACCAGTTTTCGCACCAGTTAGTATGCAATTATCTGATAATTTGCACTAGTGCAAATTATCGCGTAATTACAATCTGATTGGTTCAAATCAACAATCAAAACAAGTCAATTGATTGTTGGAATACCAGTTTTGACAGATGTATGAAATTCTCAATTTAATTTTTCATGCAAGGAGCCTATTCAACATTGGCCTCTGTTACATTTGTCAGGACCAGATCCAGTGTGTTGCCTAGAAGATTTTTTATATTATTCAGGAAATACAAATCATAAACCGAGCCATAAACATATAAAAAATTGAGTACCATTGATTGTGACACAAATGCATTGAAAATCTAGTCTCTACTCTTAGCTATTAACTCCGGCCTATATTTTGCATTCACACAACACATGACACCTCCACCTAGACTCACATCGCAGTGTGAATAATTTTTATCATTTCTAAATATCACATTTTTATCATCACAGATTTCATTATCGTGGAACGAGCTATTCAACCATGTTTTACTTATGCAGGTAGCTTCCCAGTCCTCTTCAGTTATGCTCCCATATACAGGGCGTTCCAAATTATTGTGCCAAAAATTAATATGATCAGGATTTAACTAGAAATCCAATTGATCATTCATTTGTGGGCCCATATAGAGAATTAATTGGATTTCTGATATGTGGTGCCATTGTATCAAGGGCAGATAATTATTGCTTATGCGGTGGGAATCAAGCGCGGATCCAGGAAGGGGCCATGGGGCCCATGATCCCCCCCGGCCTCCCCCCCCTAGATAAGAAAAAATAATTTTAAAAATCAACATTAAATTGACCAATTTTTCCGGGTTTACCAGAGTCCGTGTATAACAGAATTTTATTTCATAGTGTCATTTTATCACGGACCTCTAGCCTATTCTATTTGTATGTACAGGGTGTCTGGTTATAATTTGACACCTCACCTGCAGCCTTTAACTTTACAGGTAGATGATAGTTGTGCAATTTTACCTAAATTTTTAGAATCCGTCGTCAAAAATAAAGTTTATCGTAAGTGGACCTCGCAAAAAAGTAGTACAACAAAAATCTCCAGAATCTGCTGCTACATTAATTTAATTCATAACCAAGAATGACATATTTTTGGCATTTTTCGAGAAGTTTTCAACCTCCAAAGCTTCAGATGACATTACTTTGGCATTTTTCCACCCGTTTTTAACCTTAGAATATGTCATTGCCTGAACTCAACATATTTTGAAATATTTATTTTTTGCCAAAATTGTATGTAATCTCGGCCCTGTATCTCCGAAACTAATCATAGGATATTCTTGGGCCTACGAGAACTTACGTTCAGGAGGTCGAGAAGCATAACATATTTTAATTTCATGACAATCGTGAAATTTATTTTTTCTCATAAGATCCGTGCGTGGTCCTTTGAAATTTTGCGTACTTTCAACTAAATGATATGCCCTATATTTGCTTCTAATATATAGTTTGTCTATATTTCTTTGAGCCGCCTTCAACATATTTGGCTCTAAAAATTGGAAAAATACTATCCTACTGACGATTTTGTGAACTATTCTGATGAAAGCTTCAGGTAAAGCATGCGGTAAAATTTGAGGCACTTGGTTTCTCTGATATTTTTTTTTTAATTTTTGAAGCCAAATATGGTGGAGACGGCTCAACTAAATATAGAGAAACTATATATTTTTGGAATCGGAAAATTACGCTCTTCAAGAATATAGAATCAAATATAGGGCATTCTATTTGGAAAAAGTTGAAAGTAGGTACGCAAAATTCCAAATTTCTGACAACAATTTAGCTAAAACTTCTCCACTTTTGTGTATACCCCTATCATCTACAGGTGGAGTGTCAAATTAGGTCTGTTTCTGCAGAAATCACAAACCAGTCAGAGTGAATTGAATTTCATTGGTTGAAACTAGTTTTCTGACTGTTTCTGACTGTTTTCAACCAATGACATTCGCTCTGACTGGTTTGTGATTTCTGCAGAAACAGACCTATTATAACCAGACACCCGTACCTTCCAATATTTTGTATGCCCCCCCCCCCCCCCCCCCTTAATTTGGGTCTGGATCCGCGCCTGGTGGGAATTGTGACCAGATTTTTGAACAATAGAACAAATGCACAATGGAATGCTGTGAAAAGAATACTGAAGTACTTATTTGAAACAAACATCAAGCCATGGTATTACCAAAGTTGTGAAACTGAGCGAAAGTATGCTAATACGAAATTTCAAGAAGCTGATATTCTCACTTGAACGTTTTCAAAACCTAAGGAACAAGATGGACTGCAAAATTTCCATTGAAAGAATACTCAAAACTTTTCCCTCTCTCTCCTGGAAACGCCATTGGGGACAAAAAAAAACGAAAATCTAAATCTGACTCATCAGTTTTAAACTCACTCTTTTTTAGCCAATTCTTTCAATATCTAAAACATTATACCAATTATTATTATTACGACACATTTTTGTTTATAGTTCCTTTACTCCACGTCCTGGCTGTCCATGCACGCGTCGCACGCAGTATAGCCAGCTGGCCCGCCTGGATGTCTTTCATTCAACTGTGTGGCCTGCCAGCCAAAGAACAAGTCTCATTGATACCGATGGAACGAGAAGTACCTCTTTTACTTAAGGATCCTATAGCGTTACTATTGCAATTTGTTTTATTGTTGCCTTTACATTTAGATCAAAGTAAGTATAGAATGTTGATCAGGCACATGCAAACATAAACGAATAACTTCTTTCTTTAGCTTATTTTACGACTACCGTCAAAATGGTTTACAATCTTCTCTATTACCAAGTGGTAGCGCAAATATCATGTGGTCTAACCAGTGCGGAAAGGAACAGAGCCGCCAAAGAAGCTAGTAGTTGGGCGATCAGTAATATTTGTGACTCTCTGGGGCTGATCGACGAATGTTTAGGTCATACAGACTTATATATGGACGATGAAGATGATGGCAGCGAATCTGTCTCTTCATCTGAGGAAGATCCGAGGGAAAAATTAAATGTTGTTGCCTTGGAACAACAGGTAGGAATTATTAATACTTGTAACAGGTTAATGGATGCATAGTGATATGAGTTTGATTTTCAGAAGTCCTTGAAGCTTTTAGCATCCTTTGAAGGAACAAAAAATGTTCTTTGAATTGTTCTAAGCAACATACAAATATTAAATGCTTAAATAGTTCTAAAATTCTAAGAATAAAGAAATATTCAATTATTAATTTTTCTCTTCTAGATCCAAAAGTTGTGCCTGCCTTTTCTCAGAATAGCGTCCCTACTGAAATTTCACATTTACCAACAACCCCTTCCAGATATTAGGAAGCCACAGAACGAGTACGTTCGATTGGTCTACTATTTGGAACTAGTTACAGAGTCTATGGACTGGGACTGTTTCAATGCTAGCGTGGCGCTCAATTGGCCACAAGGCACAGATATATTCAGGTAAGAATCTGAAATGAAAACACCTAAACTGGCTTTTTTTACAAATCACCGTGTATCTGGGATACTAATAGAAATTTGGTAACAACGAAAATATATTTTCAATAAACTTCGAAAACTCTTACCATTTTTGATATAGGAATCAATGGTGGCTCATGTTATTTTTGACACCCTGTACATTTAAAAACACAGCTAATTCTTTTTTTTTTTTTAGATCTTTGCCCCAATCTTGGTGCGTAGAGTTTGCCTCATTCGTCACAAAGAGTCAAATAGCGGCCCGCTCGTTCTTAGTCGACCAACCAATAGTTTGGCATCCGCCAAGATTACTAGCCCTGCCTAGAGAATACGAAAAAATATTCACTGTAAGTTCATGAAATTCCTTCATAAATTTATCATTATAACTTTACATATTCGTTTTAGTACTACCACGAAAGACCTTGTAACCAATGCCATTCAGTCGCGACAGAAACCAGTATATGTCTGTTGTGCGGTACCATAGTGTGTCTGAAACAAAATTGTTGCAAACAGCAAAATGTATGCGAGGCGGTGGCGCACGCCCAAGAATGCGGAGCTGGAACCGGAGTGTTTCTTGTCGTCACTTCGACCTACATCATAGTTATAAGGGGGCACAGAGCTTGTCTTTGGGGCTCCCTGTACCTAGATGACTTTGAGGAGGAGGACAGAGACTTAAAGTAAGTATTTTTGACTTGTATTTGTTCAAAATTTGAACTGATAATACTCAGATTATTGTGTGAGAGCTGTAAATTACAAGAATGTATACAACATTTTTGGTCGCTTTGCGTTTAGGCAATGGGAACTTACCTCAATTAGACATCTATAAATGTATTATGTGAGAATTACATATGTATGTGGTTTAAAATAAAAGTGTTTATTTTAAACCATTGGTCAACCAGAGTATCGCTCGACAATAATGGAATGCATGAAATATAGCAACACATCCTTTCTCTGATCGTAGCAGTTTTGGACAAGCACTTGTGTTGCGACTATCGCTTCTCATGTACCTAACTCACCAACCCAAATTGCGAGTCGCTTATGTCTCTTTCACATTTCTTGTAAATTTTCTGGTGTATGATTTAAAAAAATATTTTCGAAGTATGGCACCTCAGGCTAATAATATAATAAGTCTATGATCTTCACATTTTCTTGCATTGATCTTCACTTGCGTCTATTTGTCAACGTGGCTCCTTCAGTATGCGCGTGCGCGTACTTTCCACAGAAGATTTTAAGGTTAGGTTTTCCTGTCTTGTTTTGATTTTGAACTTGTACTTGTTTAGTAAGTTTCGTAACGTAACATTGTGTCTACTGACCCTGAAGTTTCTATCCACCCCGTTTAGGGCAATTTTTTTAGTTACATATCTGTTGATTCGTGTCGTGATGGAGGGAAACAGTGAAAACATTGAAAAGGGCTCATAAATAAGTAAAAGTGATTGAGTAAGTCTAATGCTAATGAGAAGTAAGTCCTTAAGAGAAGATGAATCCAAATTTTGTAGATATGTATATGTCTGTACTTTGTGTTCCAAAACATTTTCAAATCAGGGCAATTTAGGCAGGCATACCAAAAATATGCATGATTCGTTGGTGGCTGAAAGGAAAAAAACAATATTGTGCCCTTTGTGTAATGTGTAACAAATCGTTTGGGTTCTACACTGAATTAGACACGCATTTAGAGTCTGAGAGTCCCCGCACCAGATAATCAAGATTACTACAAAAAATGCTTTCTTTGTCGGCGATGCTCGGATAAACAAAATCAAAAAATTGATGCTCTTGGACTAAATTTATTCTCAATTCTTTATGTGTAGAGTTTATGCATTTGGTTATCCGGGCATCGCCGACAGAGAAATCATTTTTCCTACAGCCGTGCGGAAAAATCGATTTTCCGCACTGATATGCGTGCGGAAAATGAGTTTTCCCGCACGGTGCGGTAAAACTTTTTTTTTTGACATATCAGTGCGGAAAAAGATTTTTCCGCACGGCTGTCAGTGCGGAAAAAATTTTACCGCACTGATATGTCAAAAAAAAAAAAAAAAAAAATTAACATTTTTTCGCCTGTAGGAAAAATATTGTACCTAACACTTGCGGAAAATATTTTTTCCTACGAGCGTGCGCAAAGTAGTACTTTTCCGCACGCATTTCGGTTCTCAAAGTTGCACTTTTCCGCACTCAGTGCGGATACAGGCCTTATCCGCACTGAGTGCCGAAAAGTAAAAATAATTGTCAAGCAACAATAAGTACACCTGTCGACTTTGACACATGATGACAAATTTTTCCTCTGTTCCTGTTCCAGCTAACATCTATACCTACAAACACCAAATTTAATTAACTTCAACACATTGTCAGATTTGTTTTCTATATATATGCATCTACAAACTATCTCATCAAATTTATAGCATTTTCCATTTGTCGAAACAGGGCAAAAAAATGTATCCTTATCCTTACATGTTACATGCTTTTAGAAAAAGATGCGGATGCACTCAGTGCGGCACTGATGACAAATGGAAATCGCCATTAAACGCTTTAAGATGAAGAGCTCTGACGATGATTTTCTGTTATATTTTTTTTTTGTTATGTAATTTTTTGATAAATGCATAGGTTCCCTTCAAGTTAATTAAAAATAATTAAACAAATTATCGTTTTTTTTTTAAATTTTTGTTGTTACCTACCTGATATGAAGCTCGTAGGAAAAATTTTGTTCCTAACACGTGCGCAAAGTGTCTTTTCCGCACGCAAACACGTATCCGAACTCCGCTTCGCGTCGTTCGTATAACTGTGTTTGCGTGCGGAAAAGTAACACTTTGCGCACTTGTTAGGAAAATAACTATTCCGCACTCGGCTGCATCACCGAACTCCGCTACGCGTCGGCCGCGTGCGGAAAAATTCATTTTCCGCACTTGTTAGGTAAATAGCTATTTCGTAGGAATCTCGATTATCTGTGGCGGGGACTATACATATTTTCTTTTAGATTTTATGTGCAATTTGATTTTTTCTGTGTCAAAATAAATTTTTCACCCAAATACATAAAGTTTGTTTCGCCAGGGTTTGTACTTGCCACCAGCATTTGCCTTCCTTGTTTAACAAATAAAAATTGACTGAAACAAGTCAATGACGTCAAAAATGTTCATCGGTTCTTAAACCAGAAGTCATTCATTTCAATTTGTCAAAAAAATTGAATGTGTCATATGAATTAATCTACGACAACCCTTTTTTTTCAAGTTTCAAGGTCAAGTATGAACCCTGGTGAAACGAACCTTACCTTTGTATTTTATTTATTACAGATATAAATAGTTAAGGGCTAGATTGGGTTTCTGTACTAAAAAATTATCCTAAACGGGGTGGATAGAAATTTCAGGGTCAGTAGAAACAAAATTAGGGAATTTAGGTAACAACGTACAAGATCAAAATCAAAACAAAACAAGAAAACGCAACCTAAAAATCTTATGTGGAAAGTAGGAGCACGCGCATACTGAAGGAGCCACGTTGAGATATGGACGCAAGTTTGATCTTCTTAGGCAAAGGTATAAAAGTAGAGCACAACCACTGTTTGGGATAGTGAGTGACCTGTCTCATGAGTAGAGTTAAATAATTTATGTAGTGCTGTGATGCCTCTTTCATTTAGGAGTTAAAGTATTGCTAGAGGGATTTCATCTGGGCCAGCCGCTTTGTTATATAATAGTCCTTTTCACGTGGCTACGGTTTAAACTAACCGTTACAAAACGGTTAGTAGCGGTATGTCAAGTATGACATACCGTTTTCTAACCCGGTTACAAAGTGACGTGATGGATACCTACCACTCGAATTTGAGCGGTATGTTGCGGTTTGTTAATTGATACCAGCTGGTGGCCTGTCGTTGTCAAAAAGTTCTTCCTTCAATATACCCTCCCCAAACATTGTTCTTCTCTTTGCTGTCGAGGACTATCTGATTGTTATTATTTACTGTTATAGTTGGTCTCATTTTTTATATATGACGGCAGTCTCCTTCAGTTTTTTGTCCAGGTTAAAGACATTGTGTTGATTTTGCAGCTGCTCTATCTCTGACACGTGAATTTAAGCCATTCGTTCTTTGCTATTCTAATCTTTGATCTTATGAGTCTTTGAATATCCTTGTATATGTTGCTGTCTGTTTTGTTCTTGTGCTTTTGACGTTCATCCATTAACAACAAAATCTCATCCGTCATCCATTTTTGTTTTCTGTTCGTTGCCTTATATCCTAATATGTTTTGCATTGAGTGTGTTGAAATGTCCATTATCTTTGTCCAGGTTTGTGTTGGCTCTTCTCCGATATTCGATGTTATTGTTTGTATTTATGATGTGTTTATCTCATTTCACATCTCAGATTATATTATTTATACAATGAACCAGAAAGACGTAAATCATTAAATATATCATGTGTTCCCTGTTTATCACCCCCAATTCATACCTAGTTCAAATAAAAAAGAAAATAACTGAACTGAAAAATTAAACTAAGAATTAAGAAATTTGTAGCCGATTTATTGGCTTATTTTTCGGCCGCCCATTCTGGGTCAGACAGCGTTTGCAACCGCCCATTATAGGTACAGACGTTGCAGTGCTAGTTTTTGTTCCTCCCCGAGTATTTGATTTTCTCAGTACCACTTATATCTGGGAAGCATTCCCCTATCCGCCACCTGAGGAGGCGCCCGGGAGGAACTAGCAAACCCCTGATGGGGTACTCTTTATGGGCTTCAAATGGACAGAAATTATTAAGAACTATGTTAGCAGATGTATGCAAATTAAAAGTCCTAAGAACAGATATTGGACTAGAATTTTTAAATAATGAGGTACGAGAAATATTGGAAAGTCGTGGAATAAAACATCAAAGGACTGTAGTTTACACACCTCAGTAGTATGGGGGAGCTGAACCAGAAAATCTAACTTTGGTAGAAGCTGCCAGAACCAATGCCAGAACTCTATTATATTCAGAGAAAAGATTAAGCAAGATTTTTTGGTCTGAGGCGCTAAACAATGTAACATATACTCTAAATCGTACTGGACCAAGTTCACAAAAACAAAAATCTCCTTATGAACTGTGGTACAAAAAGAATATCAATTCAGTACAAGTTTTTAAACCATTCGAAATAGAGGTCTCAGTACACGTACCCAAGGAAATTCGTTCAAAATGGGATCCCAAAAACAAAATGGGAATATTCAGGATATGGTGAGCATGTGAAAGGATAAACAGACTGAGTCCAAAATAAGTGCGCATTTTGTTATGATAGAGTACAGTAGGACATTCACTTTTTGTATAGGTACACGTGTACGCGAACGTCTCGTTAAGAAAATATAGAGTGTTGAAATTTTCGGAAAATGTTGACTTTTTGCCTTTAGATTCAAAATGCCTTGAGCGATTTTGTTCAAGTTTTCAGAGAGTGTTTGCGATGTTTTCGAGCATCTTTCTAAAGAATCAGTTCGAGTTTCACTTTTCCAGGATCGAACCTAGAGCGACTCTTGTTTTTTAACAGAGGGGAGTACCAATTTTTTCTTTTAAAAAATAAGAGTTGCTATACGTCTGGTCCTGGAGAAGTGGAACTCAAACGGATTTTTTAGAAAGATGCTCAAGAACATCGCAAACACTCTTTGGAAATTTGAGCAAAATCATTCAAGGCATTTTGAATCTAAAGAAAAAAGTCAAAATTTTCCGAAAATTTCAACACTCTGT